ATAGAATTACCGTGCAGAAGCTTTAAAATTAGTATTTGGATTCATGACAACGAGACATTTTAAAATAATTTATCTCTCAGTGTAGAGAGTGAAAGCAATGTTGTAATTTAATCTTTAATTCAGTTCTCATTTGCTTCATATTTTTTCTGAATTTTGTTTTTGGCAAGAATAACGAATCCATTTGTACAAGACCAAACTGTGTAGATACTCCTGTTTAGTTTAAAATGATTTAGTCCCATTTGAAATGTTTCCTCTGAACAATTTTAATGCAGATTAAATTCACCATGAGATTGTGTATCTAAATGTAATAGATACAACTGAAAAACATTAAATAATTTTAAAGCAATTATGCGTAATGTAATACTTTATACATAACTTCCTATTTCAAAATAAGAATTATGGTTATCTTTACGATTATACTTATTAATGTGTGATAATAACAACATGAACATTCGTCATTGTATTTTGTAGAAAATAAATATTCAGCTATTTTTTTCTTAGTATAGCTTAAAAAATGTGTGTAAATACATACTGAGAGGCAGAACAAATGAGTTTTGACTTTTTAATACCTCTAAGTGGTTCTAAAATATTATAATGTACTGTATATGCAAGACTATTGTCTGCATTGCTCCCTGTATTTCTAAAGAGTGGTGGATAGCATTTTATTTAAAGATTCATCTGCAAACCATATGTTTGTTATTCATGAATGAAATGCTATCATTTAAAGCTTATTAACTTACCTTACCTTTATCCTTTAATATCCATTAGCATATTTCAAGTTTCACTAATGGCAGTATTTGCCATGGATGTGGATCAACCAACACTCATCCAATGTTTTTCAGTAATATTGTAATAATACACAGTTTAAAGACAACCCTTCAAAATGAAGTGATACCTTAAAGTGTTTAATATATTTTTAGTTTTACATAGATTTTAAGTAACATACAAGCTCACACCAGCGCAATAAATCACCTCAATAAACTGCAGAGGTCTAAAAAAGCATTAATCTATCAGATTTCATGCACCCTAAAACATTGTTTTTATGTTGACTGAAGAATAATGGCTCTCTTGGTGCCATTCAATACTTTCATAGCCTTAATAGATGATAACCTAGCAGAGATACTGTATAAATTATACAGTGCATAAAAAGAGGACTGCCAATGAATTAGGGTATATATGTATAGCATGTTTCAATTTCATCTTATGCTCTTTGTTTTGTACATGATTGTAATATTTTTTGTCTTATTACTCCTTAAGGCAAGCTTTATCATCAGTTTATTTTCAACATTGTTGTGATAAAATTCTTTACACAAACCTTTCCCTTGTCCAAATACTTGAATTGTGTAATGTAACTTCCTTAATACAACACATTCTGTACTGTAAAATACTCTTAGATACTATGCGTTTTAGAATTATTACTATCATTTATTGTACAAAGTGTGTATACTTTTGAGTATGTATTTATAGAATTATATTACTGTATTGTATACATAATGTATTGAGAATTCTTGAAATCTGAATTCTAGCTTTAAAACATCAAATTTTAAGTACATTAAAACTATAGTTGACACAAGCACTTTTATTCAGTTATAAATTTTATCATGGGTGTGATAAAATTAAACAATAGAAAGGTTATTTATGTTGTTTAAGGTTTCATGATCACATAAAAATCAGACTGTAACATAATAATAATACTTATTATTATTATTATTATTATTATTATTATTATTATTATTATAATCCTTGGCACCGAGCTTAACTTGAAGAACAAGATGCATGCGATTAACAGCTTAGCAGTGCCCGTGCAGCAGTACAGCTTTGGAATCATCGATTGGAGAGAGCAGGAAATCCAGGAGATGGATAGGAAGACCAGAAACTTGCTAACAAAGTATGGTCTTCTGCACACAAAAGCCGATGTAGACCGAACATATATACTTAGGAGCAGTGGTGGCCGTGGGATCACTGAGCTGGAAACCGCATACAAGAGCACAGTTGTCGGCCTAAGCGAGTACATCAAGCAAGGATCCAACAAATACTAATAATTATTCATTTTAAGACATGAAAAAACAAAGAAATGCTCTGGTCAACATCGGCGAGGAAATTCCTAATGCAAGAAATTGTATAGGGTTAATAAAGTGATTTTATTAAATCAAGAGCCGATACATCTAGCCTGAAATCAGCTCCCTGGGAAGGAGCAAGCTGGGAACTATAAAGATCAGATACAAGTTCTTGTATTAGGAATTTGTCTTTTCGCATACCCCAGCTTATTCTTCATGAGACACACAGACATAAAGACAGGGAGAGAGAAGCTTGGGGTCAGAGCGCATGGTCAGCCATTTATACGGCACCCCTGGAGCAGTTGGGGTTAAGGGCCTTGCTCAGGGGCCCAACACAGTAGGATACGAACCAGCAGCTTTCCAGCCACAGGCGCAGGTTCCTTAGCCACAGAGCCACTGCACAACAAACAAGCTAACCTTGTTAAAACCTAGATTAATTTTATGATTACAGTACTTCGGTTAAAAATATGCTCTTAAACATTGAGTTGAGTGGCCACTGAATAATAACTGTAATAACTATAATGCGGGAGGAATTATATTTTTGGTCTTTTGAATAAATATCTTCTTCCTAAACAGAGAATATACAGTAGATTTGGATTCTCTGACACTGGTTATGAATTTTTAACAGCCTGCATTATTTTGTCTGCTGGATTTCCTGATGTTTATGTTGTAACAAGAGTTTGGGAGAAAACAAAATCGGAAAACAACCTTATGGATTCACAGCATATTATCTTGGCAAAATGTGAAATCCCATTTCAAAAACTCATGACAGAATATTTTGAAATCCCTTTCTTGCTGTGATATTAAGAGGATATAACTCAGCACAAGATTAAACAGGTGAGAGAATATTACCAGATAAATGTCAGAAGAAGTAATTTGTAAAAAGATTTGCTTAATATCCTACATTGCAAAACTGGCCTTGTACCCCCACTTTCAATGTACCCCTGACCCTAACCAATCCTTTAGATCAGCATACCTGTGTATCAGTAATGGCTGAGTAGAAAGGTTATTTACTGCCCGTCCACATTGGACTGAACCAGGAAAAAAACGTGGGGTGGAGAGGAGGAGGTGAAACAAAAAGGCTCAATGTTGTCATTATTAGAATTAGCAAATAGCTCATACAGTGGAAGTAGCTTTATATATCGTTCCTTCACACTCATTGGATGTTCTTGATTGATGGAAAATGAGCGCCGTGCACTTATCAGTGAAGCAAAGAGGTAAGGGAAAGGGGAGGAGAGGTGGTATGTACTGTACTGTAGTTCTTCATGTGGACAAACAGGGAACTGAACCCTCCGCCTCTCTCAACTGGCGACAACAGGCAGCAGGAGAGGGGGAGCCCTCCTTGGACAAGCTGTTCTGGGAGCACGAGGTGAGGAGGGACGGAAAAGTAAAGGATCAAGAACAGTGGTCAGAGCGAGAGGGGGGAGCTGAAAGAAAACGTGGTGGGAAGTGAGAGGAGAAGGTCAGACCCCACAGGGAATGGAGCAGGAGGTCCAAGAGGTGGTGAAGAACATCTGTGTGGGACTGTAGAAGCGGGAGAGTAGCTGCACAGTGCGCAGCTCAAGGGTGCCGCCAGGCAGGAGAGAGCAGCAGAGACAAAGAGCAGCCTGGGTGAAGAAATCCTTTTCCTCCTCATCCTAATGAATATGTTGTAACAAATGAATTCTGGAAAAGGTGTAATTTGCATTATCTTCACACACATATGTGCAACCAAGGAATTAGAAGCTGCTTTACACAGTTATTCTTTCAAGTCTTATGAAACAGCCAGTGCTAAGCAATATGAATCCCCACAACACAATCAAATCAATAATTGTAGTCTTTTTAATGTTTAGTTGAGGCTTCTTATTAAAAAATGCAATCAAATACTTAATTTTAAAACCATTCAAATAATAGAATTCTGTTTTCTCCACAGGAACATATTATGGAGGTGATAAGAAATCAAGAATTCCTGCTGCTTTCTGCTGATGAAATTCTCCAGCTCCTTGCCAGTGACGATGTTAATGTTCCCGATGAAGAAACAATATTTCATGCCCTTATTTCATGGGTGAAATATGACACACAAAGGTGTAAATATTTAAGTACTCTGCTTGCCTACATTAGACTTCCTCTTCTTCCAGCACAGGTAAATGATTTACTGCAAACAGGGTGAAGAAAAATGTTTCTATGATTAAGACAGATCCAAATTTGTAGAACAAATGTTAAATTACAGCGTTTTTTGCAAAATTACAGCGGTTTATGCACAGTAGCTACATTTGACTAGCAGACTCCATGGACTCCATGGACGCTGAGAAAAACTATTCTATACATGAAAATCCATCTATAAATACTATATATAATCATGTGAATTACTACACATCTGTCATCATACATTTCTACTGAAGCTGCAAAGTTCTTTGTCGCAGTTGTAGGCAAACAATATTTGTCTTGTAATTGTCACGGACGTCCAAAGGGACTAACCGTGGGGAGCAGGAGAGCGGAAAAAGACCCATATGCGTAGCGGCGAGACGGGAAAAAGGCCCGGGCTCACTAGTGCAAAGAGTTCAGGAATGCCGTATAGAAACCTATGCCCTCAGGGAGCGGACGTGGGGCGCCCTGGTGCTAGGCGGGTCTCAGGACATCCGAACATCAATGCTGAGTGAGGACAGAGTGCAAGACCCGGAAATATATAGCCCAAGTGAAAGAGAGGGACAGGAAGGACAGCAGACTGGAAACTAGGGACAGGACAGAGAAGGAGCGCCCTCTGGCTGCAGAGGGCGTGACAGTAATGTTGCTCCTTTATGGCTTGTAAAACAGATCTTATTCATGAGGTCAGTTAACTGATCAAAAGTGAAGTCAGTCCACGTTGTAGTCAAGTTATATACACCACCTATTATGTTTAACGTCTGTTAAAGTTGTTAATTTTCTAGAGTTCTGCCTTCTCAAGGTAATGTTGCAGAAAAACAATTAGTAGGTTTCATGTTGCTAGTGTAAACACCTCTTTTTGAAAAAGAAGAAATATTTGCAGCTTGCTATTTTATACCTCTTCTAATTTAAGTTTAGCAAATAATATAGTTGGCAGTGCGGATGGAGCGGTGGGATTCCAGTCCTGGTGCTGTCTGGGTGGAGTTTTCATGTGGGTTTGCACCAGGTGCTCTGGTTTCCTCCCACAGTACAAAAACATGCTGTTGGGTCAACTGGCTTCTGGGAACAGTGGCCCTGGTGTGCTTGTCTGTGTGTGTGTCTGTGTCTTGGGCGTGGTGTTTGCTAGGTTAGGCTCTGGCTCCCTCATGACCCTGAATTGGAAAAAACACTCCAAAGGACTCCAAAAATGGACGAATGGCTGGAATAGTATAATCTCCCCCCGGTTACTGTGTACTGTAACTTTTATGCTGGTTTACTAGATCCAGGACACTTGTGTTTTATTGGAACTTCCACATGAGCCATCTCTTTTCCTTTTCCTTCCTACAATTCCCTTGTTGACTGTTAGATTGTGATTTTGAGGCCTTCAGATGCTTTCAGGAGGTGCTTTCTCCTGCGGTGGTCTTGACACAATACATTAAGTCACTACACTTCAGTGTGGAACAGCACAGAGGAATGGAAACTGTAAAACTCATAATGGGGATCACAGGTGCTCACAGCCAAAGGAAGGAAAACTGAACCGCAAAAAGAAGTGACATCTGAAAGAGAAAGGTCAAAACAAGTCTAGGCTATAGGTTTAAGTCCTTGCTTTTTATTTCAAAATAATAATTCAGAAAATGAATCACTGATGGTAGTGTTACACTTGTAGTGAACTGAAGATATGCACCTTTTCAACACAACAGTTTTTTGAAAGTGAACAGAAAAAAAATTGTTTACATTACTTGTTGTCTGTTGCAGTTAATGATCTTCCAGGCTCTTCTTGTCAGTCAGCCCCAGTGGTACGTGGTCAATACTGCTGAGCCAAAGTAACCCCAGAGCAGTCATTGAGCAGCTTAGCCTAGGACTAGCAACCTTAAGGCACTAACCCAAAGTCCAGGCTGAGATACCTCTGTGAAAATGACTTGTGTATGTTATGTTTAAGTCACCAAACCTTCAGATAATGTTTACTGTACTTGAAAGGTAAATTATGCATTACTTTGAAAACAATTGCAGATGATTTCATTATGAAACTAAAGTGTGCAGTTTGTAAAAGGCATATAATGACAGTTACATAGCCAAATGTGAGTGTCTTGTTTTGTCAGTGTCTTGTAGAATTTGTCTCTTCTCCATACTTACAGTGCATTATGATTACTGATGTCTACACTACACATTACATTTAAAAGATTGCAGTGAAAACTGTATAACTTCTTCTTCTTCCCTTTAATTGTAAGGCATTTACTTGCCCAGTTTGATATTGAATTTGTCTGCTGTAAGATTTGAAAGACCAGTGCATATTGGATCTTATGTATATTGTAGACACATTGGTACATTGCAATTTTAATAATGATTCTCTCAAACAATTAAGATACAATGCAACCAATTCTTTACATTAAAATAGCAATTTAAATGTAATACATAAAATATTTACAATTAAAACATCTATGTATTGGATGAATGAAAAACAGCATTATGATTTCTAATTATTCAACAAATTGATTTCTAATTATTGAAGAATATAACCCCCACTATATAATTACGAAAGACTTTTACTACAATACTGGCAGAGCTCAATTTTATAGCTTTAATGATATTCTTAAGTGCCTGAAGGAATTTGTCTAGGCAGGAAGCAGTTTCTTTATTTTAAAGTTATTAGAAGGCTATAGTTTATGTTTCGATTTTTTCATTACCATCATGATTATGTCCATAGTGACTCACAAAGTCATGCCTCGTATAAAATGGATATTACAAACATCAATCACTAGCTCTAGTTTTCTGTGCCTTTTTAAAGGGAGCAACTTTGTTAAGGAACTAAAGGGAACAATTTGTAAAAGGCATGACTTGACATGAGTTTGTAAAATGAAACAGTTTTTCCAGTAGATTCTAAAAAATAGATTGGAATCAACCTGTTAAGTTGCAAAGAAACAGTTTATAGTAGGGCTTAGAAGACTGTTAACATAAATAAAAGCATGATGATTTTTCAGTTGGAATCCAGTTAGTGATTCTGGTACTGTAGGCAGGTAAGGTTTGTAGAATACTTAATCTCGGTGTGCTGAATGCTGAAACACTCGTCTCTAGGATAGCCCTGCAAAACATGTAGGGTCACATTCAATGACACTGGACTACCAGTGGAGGCCATGGGGAGACCAAAGACTAAAAATTGTAAATGACCAACTTTGCAGCTGTAGAGCCTTCTTTTAGTGTGTAAAAGAATGAGGGTGAGAGCAGAAATACGAAGCAAGAGGGTAGGAAATATTTATTTTCTTTGTCAGAGAAGTCAAATACCTGACTACTGTACTGTATATATATAGTATATACAGTATTTCCCAGGACAATGTTAACTATAAGAGCAGTTAAAAATGAGAGCTCATCTTGCCTGCTTGACTGTTGCTCATTGACCTGAAGATCACATCCAACCATTTCAGCTTCAACAAATGGCTGCGTAGTTTGTTCCATCGCTGAGTTGGGGAGGAAATAAATTACATGCCTCATAAGGCACAATGATGAACATCGGATGGGCACACATTGTGAAATGACTTAAAATGTGGAACAAATGCAGTGGAAATCAACACAGAAAATAAGCCCCACTTACTGTATTAAGAGAAGGCCTTAGTGGTTCAATGTTTCTTCAAGTGGTTTTGCCACAGTAAAGCCAAGACCTCTTTAGCGGGAATCAAGGTTTTCTGTAAAGCACCTGAATGGAAATCAATGCATATGGTGCACGTACAGAATGACATGCTAAGTGCTGTGCACAACACACCAAACAATGAGGATGTCCAAGTGTGATCATCTTGTCAGGAGTGTTGTTTTGCTGTAGAAGCCAACCTAAAGTTACTGTGTTATATTAATCAAGTTCTTGGAAGTCATCTGTTGCTCTTCTTGCATGCTTATTCTGATGTGACAATATTCCTGCAGGACAACATATGTCCTCATTATGTCCATGGCTTTTTTGTAAGATAAGAAAATATAAATTATACTTAATACTACAATTATACATAATTTATGCTGAACATTTGTAGGATGAGCATTGACAAACTATGGCACCTGTGGCTCACTCCACTCTACAAGAAACCTTTTGGGGACAGAATTCCCCAAGACCGCATCTACTGCCTATTGGAAAGCCTGTGCTACAGGTGTTTGCTTCCAATGTTGGCAACACAAGTGTTACGTCCCAGTGTGTGTTCTCTGTGTTTTTTTTTCTGTTATGTCCACACTGCTGACCCTTGATTGTTCTCCCTTCCCCATTGGCCCACCATTACACCACACTTTCCGTATGATGTCATCATCAATTAGCTCTCAGCCAATCAGAACTCATTTTATTCACTATATAACATGGAGTCTTTCAGGAAGAAAAGGCCTTTTGTTTGACTTTGGTCCCGTTTGGTTTTGGTTATCGCTTCGCTTCACCTTGCTTCTGGTTATTGCTTCTGGTTATTGCTTCGGCTTCGTTTGTTGGTTTGTTTTGCTTTGTGTGTGTGTATTTTCATATAGCTTTGGCTTTGTTGTTTTGTTGGTTTTTTGTTAGTTTCTTTGTACTTTCGTTTGTTTGTGTGTTCATCCTTGTTTTGCCGTCACCTAGCCCCAGTGTTACATGTTCAACTTTTGTGTTCTTTTGTACCCTGCTCCTGTTGATTACTCTTGTTTTCCCTTATTTGTATTCCTGGTTCACTTGTGTTTTTGTGTGAACTTTTGTATATAAGGTTAGTTTAGGTTGTTGGGTACACTTACACACTTAGTTGATTTTGTATTAGTACACTAGTTTAGTATGGGTGAGTGCCATTTGTCTTGTATGGTTTTGGGTAGTCAGTGGAGGTTAGCTAGGGTGTTGAAGACGCTGAAGACCGTGTGTTTCGGGTTTTCTTTTGTAGTCAGATTAGCTTTCCCTCACTTTCCTAGCCAGCTCCATTTTGTTTGTTATTTTCTTTCCTTTGGCACCACTCTAGTTCCTTACCCTTATCACACTTCCTAGTCCCTCACCAAAACCCCCCTGCTTCCAAAAGAATTATCCTAAATGTTACACCCCTATAC